AAAATTTTTCAGAAGAAAAAACACATGTAAACAATTATCTCACTAGCAATAGTGATACGGCGAAGCAAGCTCAACTTACAAAATTGAAAGCCTAAGATTAGGACGTCAGATCATGTGATCATCAGCTTGGAGCAGGCCTGTAGATATCTAGTTGGCCTTGGTTCGCCTTAGTCGACGTCACTGAAACGCCATGATATGAGTGCTTTTAGACGTGGTCGTTTTAGCATCTGTTTCATAGTTCATCAGCATTACTTTTAGAATGAAAAGAGACTAAATCTGCCCTTTCAAGAATCTGAAGTCCGCATAAGATTTATTTTGCAATGTTTCATTACTTTATTTAATCTAAATATCATCTTTCATCTAAGTTAGATTCATCTAATGAAATATAAATTTAATATAAATACTTGAATTATTAAATTTAATTAGTACTAAAAATACGTGCTAAATTATTGTTTAAAATTTTGTTAAAATAATTAATACTTAAAATATTTTTTATAAATATTATAGCAAAATATTAAAAATGAAACTAATCTATAAAGTAAGTTATTAAGTTATGCATTTTATATACTTTAAAAAATCATATTTCCGAAATCAATGTAAATCACATGTTAGCAATTATTTCACTGCTGAAATATGACTTTATTATTATGTTTGAAGTAAGGACGAATTTATTTGAATTAATGTGGTGACATAATATGAAACATTTTACCACATACAGTTCAAAAAGTACAATTTTCGCGAAGATATGATTGTGTGTGAAGATGTATTCACGGATAAAAATGGGGCGATTTTAAGAATTCCGAGAAAACGTCCAATGTTAAAAAACGATGCATATCCATGCATATTTAACGGCTGTCCAATATATATGACTGAAAACTCACCGACAGTCAGGAGAAGCAGAACGGAGAAATTAATGGAAGAGGAGAAAGAAATATTAACACTTTTAATGGAAAAAGACAAAATTGCTTGGCTTTTTGTCGTTTTCCATGTCGTTCAAAAAATGGGGCTTTGATAAATTAATAATAAATGTTGACATCAAAATTAGAGAAACTGTGAACAAAAATACGAAATTCATTACCTATAAAAATTTTGATGAACTGTTTGTTATGTTTTTACGTTTTTGTCCATCTCCATGCATTCAAAAATGCTTGGTTTAATCCTAGTTTACGGTACGCTTGGGATTTGGCGACATTGACATCACAAAGGTTTTAGCGAGCCCGATAAATATTTTTTTGTAAATATAATCCTGTGAACATTGTTCGTAATTCTATTCAGTTGAAATAAATCTTCTAGGCCATTTAAAAAAGATTCTGTTAAATTAGCAGAAGAACCGTCGAAAGTTTTAATATAAAGGTATAAATCGCTGAAAGTTACACTGCATTGTTCTTCAACCGAGGACATTCCATGTACATTATTTACTGGTTGCTTATATAAACGAATATTTCGAGGTTTGCGCGCATTGGCTAGCTGCCAAATTCGAACAAGTTCCTAACTGCGCAATTTAGTTCAGACTCCATTTTTTTTTCGTAAATGTTTTCTTCCCGGTTTTGTAATTCACCGTCGGAATTAAGTACTGGAGAGCTTCAATACAGATAGAGAACCATGTACAGGGATATAATGATAGCAGTTTATTTTGAATTGAGGAGAAATTATCGTTGTAATCCCGAATTTGTTCTTAATTTGTTTGTAAATATCTGATCTACAAGACGACACCAAAATTTTGAATTTTGGATACATCGTTTAAAGAAAATATCAGATGCAGCGTGCTACAATCGTCCGTTCAGTGAAATAGTGTTCTTTTTAGGTGCTTTATGTGTTTCCGGTGATTGAAATTATATGGTGGTGTTCTCCAATCTTCAGTGCTTCCAGCGGTGCAATATTTGGACACACGGATTAGCGTTGTGCTTCAATTATAACGTTCTAAGTGCTATATCGTATATCATTCCTATTAATCAATTACTGTATTCTAGTGAAAGGTTGGTGCTCCGAATTATTGTATAAAAATGTGTATATATATCCGTATATGATCAAAAAATAGTGTTAAGGAAACATTAGCATTACTATGAAATATTGTAATCTATAGTTATGTGATATTTAATTGTGTAATATTAAAAAACACAAAATATTTTTTATTCATTGCAAATTGCACTTTTACTACTTTTCGTTTGGTATCTATTCTTCCAAACACTGGGTAATTCGCGTTTTTTTTTTTTTAAATATTGCCGTTATGTATGTTTATTAGATTATCTCAATAAATGAATGTTGGAAATCAGTTTTTATTTTTTATTAAGTTTAAGTGCATTCAATTTTCTTTGCTTACTTTTTATGTGCTTGTGATAACAAAGAAATTCATAATAAATAGAAATAAAATGTTTCATCGTGTGCTATTTAACGAAGAGCTTACTCTAGCGTACTTAGCTTACTATCGTATACTATATTATTTAAATTATTTCTGTACGGTATCAAAAGGGAAGTTATTGATTATAAAAAGGGCATGAAATGATCATTGTAATCGACCACTATTCTAAAATGTAGAAACTAAAAATAAGTAAATACATTTACATATGATTGAAAGAAATGGTGTTAAGAAACATCAGCATTACTAGTAAATACTGCAATCCATAATTGTTGCGCTTTTAATTGCTTACTATTTAAAAAACACAAATATTTTTAATTAATTGGAAATTTTAGTCTTACAAGTTGGCTTTAACTGAAATTGCAAGTTTAGTATCATACTTCTTACTTGATTAAAAGATGAAAACACCTTCGCATTTATTAATAACTGTTAACTAAACGAGGGTTGCTTTGCCCCCCTTGAAAAGTCAACCAATTTCCGATCAATGACGATAATTACTTAGTTTGTTAATTTTAAACGTTTACATTTCTATTATTCACAATTGAAGTTCCTTTAAAAATACTGTTTTCGGGATTAAATTTCAATGCTTCCGGATTACTTCATTCAGATACATTTTACGAACTTTATATTAGGAGATAATATAATCAATGTTAATTTAATATATATATATATATATATATATATAACTGCATTATAAATATATTAACATATGCAGTTAAAGAAATGGCAGTACATATGCCTATTTATACCCTTTTCAAAACGATCCCACTAGCGGTCAAGCGGTAAAATCGCTGAATACTGGTAGTTCGGTTCGAATCCCACGAACGGGCTGTCTGCATGGGCGTCTTCGTAGTTTTTCCCATGTGTAACGTGTATACGAGCTATTTTCCCTTAGAAAGTACTGTATGAAGGCAAACCTTCCCTCAGGCAGATAGTCCTCAAGGCTTTGGCCCTCGAGGGCTCGAGGTAATCACATAAAACCAAACACTTTTTTAATCTGAATAAAAAATACACAAAACTGATGATTACACATAAAAAATCTGAGGACTAATTATAACTCATGTATTGAAACATTTACAAGAATTTAATTTAACTGAAAATTATACAGGAATTTAACTTGAATTATGCAGGAGATTCTGAAAACTACTGGAAATTGAAATTCATATCGGTACAATTAAAACTACCTAAATAAATTTTTTAACTCAAAACAATTTTATATGAATGTTGAATTTTAGATATGCATAATTTGAATATATACTGCATATTCTTTAATTAATATTTGCTAATGTATTACATTTTTATACACTATAAATTAGAATAAAAGTAGAGGGAATACATTATAATTTTAAAAATAAAATACACAAATTATAATTTTAAAAATAAAATAAACATTTAAATTTTAAAAATAATTAGGTTTATAAATTTATAAATTACCCCTTCAAAACATGAAATTAAGTACATTAGTATAGACATTAGTTCAAAAATTATAATTTTAAATTAAAAGTACGTACTCTTTCTTTATATGGGAAACAGAAAAACACCAAATATGTTATTTTCACAAAACTTAAATTAAGGAATTGCTTATCTAATAGATCAGAAGCCTATATCATACAGATATGAAAACAAGCGAGTTATTCCTTACTTTTAATACAGGAGTTATTTCTCTCTTTGATCTACATGCTCCGGTGAGGTATGGCATTAATTTATTGATAAGGGTCCATGCTATGGGTTTGGTAAGTCGAAATAATCCAATAAGAGTAGAATCGTTAGCATCAAATGCGTTATTTCTATCGCGAAACACTAGAGTTTCTCGCAAATCTTAAGAAATTAAAATATCCAGTGTAGCTCTAAAACGACAGTCGGAAAGTTAAACCGCAGCTACACAACTGACGGAAAATTTTCTAATGCCTTGATCTCTGTAATGATCGAGACGATGACACAAGACTGGCGCTGTGTCGAGTAGATCGCAAAAAACCACCCATTCTTCCGTCTGAACGGTGTACAGACTAGGGCCGTAGGTCTGAAGGCGCTTATAATGGTAAAACTGTTGGCAGATTTATAAGCTCATGAAATCATGTGTTATAAAGGGGCCTTTATTTAACATATAATGAAATAATGCCTTTGTCATTCATATGAAACATCTCATATAAAAACATCACCTATCTATCATTGGAACACGAACTGAGTAGTTAAGGGCTTTTTCATATTGATATCTACGTTGCTGAATGGCAACACCAACCTTGGATACAGTTTTTGACTGTTTGTAATCACCGGTTGTTATGCATGTGTTTATATTTGTTGCTCTGAAAAGGAAGATGCGTTGTTTTTAAGATTTTTTTATAGAATTTGATCTGAAAATATTTAACGAAAGCTCATGAAATGGCAGATGTGACTGTGGAAGTAGAAGTCAGTTCAAACTGTATAATAACATTTATTTAATTGTGCACTCATATATGATATGATATAAATGAAAAATGCACATTATCTTAGATTTATTTTTAATTTAGGCTGAATTAATTCTGAATTTCCAACCATCTGAATTCGAGAACTAAGCGTTTTTTCTTATAACGAATGAAAACTATTAAATTTGTTTCTTGAGTGTAGTTTATAATTTCCTCATGTGTTCTTTGTTGCTTTATATGCATATTTTCTAACGTGTTAAATCTGTACCTATAACAAGACATTTGATGCAAAATTAACGCTATAAACTCAATATTAAAAATGAGGTCATAATACCGAAAAAAATATATATTATAAATAATGAAAAGTCGAGTTATTTAGGAAGTTGAGGCAATTATTTTTATTTTGTATCAGGAATTTAGTGCATAGTAATAATATCTACCTAAAATACTAATCAATCAGAATGGCTTATAATAAGAAACACGAAAGTTCATTTAAGTTTATCTAATAATGTTAAATAAAATAGTTAATGGTATATAACTATAGGTATATAAAATAGTCATTTTAAATATTGATGGCTAATCTTTGGAATATGGTAACAGGTAATTTGGCGACATTTTGGTAAGGCGATAAAGGTTAGTACATGGATAAAGTCAAGAGCGTGTGCAATGCCATTTTTGTGCAATTCTGGGATTTTTTTTTAAGTGAAAATAGGTCAATGTGTACATGGATACCGTGTATGTGCAAATCTTAAAAATGTGGCAAGCAATGGGCGATTCTGCACTTTCTCCCAATTTCGCATCTAATCTTTGTCATGATTAAGCACTTTTGTTCCATAAAAGTTCTAGCATAAACGTAATTCGGCTAGCAGATTGTTGGAAAAAAAATGTTGAGTTAAAAAAAAAAAAAAAAAATGCCTTTACTTCGTGAAAACAAAATGGCATCCAAAACAAAACTAGCAAGTTGCTGTAGCAGGGTTGGTCGCCAGATTTTAGCCAAAAAATCGTCAAGTTACCATAATCCAAAGATTAACCAAATATTGCTTATCAATTACTGTAATCTGTGATACTGACGTGTCAAAATTTTTCATCAAAAGTATTTTTGTTAATAGATGAACTATTGCATGGGCATTTGCATAAAATCAGGAACAAAAAATTCACGTGTGTAATCTGCATTTGACTTTAATAATTCTTGTGAGATTTTAAATTCATACATGTGATCATCTGATATTTACTTGTGTACTGAAATAATATCTGTAATTTTTTGGTTGATCAAATCTTTGTATATTTGCTCACTATCAAATGAAGGTAAAAGTATATTTCAGGGTACCCCTTAGGGATTTTTGGTGGTACATGGATACCAAGTTTGTGCAATTCTTTGACTTGTTATTTTGGCTTGTGTAGTGGCAATTTTTGGCTCAAAAATTGTGACACAAAGCCAAAATAACAAGACAAAGAATTGCACAAACTTGGTATTCATGTACACATCGACTTATTTTCACTCAAAACAAAATCCCAGAATTGCACGAAAATGGCATCGGGCATTCCCTTGACTTTATCTATGTACAGATGAACCTATTTTCACTAAAAAACACATCAGAGAATTGCACAAACTAGGCTAAATCGCCGCTACACAAAGACAAAATAACCCGACAAAGAATTACACAAACTCTGTATCCATGTACACATCAACTTATTTTCACTTAAAAAAAATTCCAGAATTACACAAAAATGGCATTACGCACTCCCTTGACTTTATCCATGTACACATCAACCTATTTTCACTTAAAAAAACATCAGAGAATTGTATAAACTATGCCTTACGCTCTCCCTTGAGTTCATCCTTGTACACATCGATATATTTTAACTTAAAAAGGTCAAAGGAGCACCCAATTCTACAGTAGAGGCAAACAAGAAATACATAATCTCAGTAAACAGCATTTTAAACCAAACAACAAAATAACATAAAAAAGGAAAAACTTTTTATGCATTTAAGCACTACACAAAGCAAATATCCACTTATCTTATTTAGAAATTCGTTCATCTTCAGTCTGTGCCACACAAAATTCCTTAACAGCATCCAAAAACTTCCTAAAATTATCTGAACTCGAATCAGTATATCAGTGTCGCCACATAAATTTCACAAAAATAAGAGTAAAAAATATACTACGTAGTTCTGGACTGTCCGGAAAATGGCTATTAAATAAACCTTCATTTTCACACCAGTCAATTAATGCACTTTCCCCCTTTTGTTCCAAATCATACAGAAACTTCATATTAATCTTACTATATTCAGCCATTGTACCGTCTAAACAATGAAACAAGCAATGTACTTCCTAAGCAACACACACCACAAAAGCCCTTGCAAAACATCCCATGACTCAAAATTTTTGCGGAATAAATCAAACGGTTATGCTATAATAGGGTTTCCATAACATTCAACTACTCAGGTTACCATAAATGATACAACAACTTGCGATAAATGAAACAACAACATCGTGATAATACAAGGGGTACCCTAAAGTAAACTCTAACCTCAAATGAATTTTCAGTGCCATATGAGAGAGTGGAATTTTCATTCTACTTAACATTTTATAATTTTTTGGTGCACAAATAAAGCATAATGTACATAACAGGGTATTTCGTTAACTATATTGACACAACTTAGTGGCAAACTTCTATTCCTCCTGTATAACATTTTAATCATAGATTAATCAATATGCATGTAAAACGGCAATCTGTCTGCTAGGATAAGTAAAATATATGCTGTATACCATGTGATTATTCTGAAGATCAAGGTATAAATGATTTTAACTGTTTGATACAAAATTACATTTGCTTTGTTTGATTGTACTGCGAATGAGGCATTGTTATTTTTGGTGCTTTTCTGTTAACAAGCTGTTACTTAGTGCCAAACATAAACATTGGCAGGAAGCTGAATTAGATGGTGGCAACTCTAATAATGTATAAAGTGTATAAAAGAATGGCTGTTTTATATATGATGCTTAATGTGAACAAAGTTTCAGAATTTGCAGATGCCTTTTCAAGCAAAAACAGATAGACGTGTACATATCAAAAATAACTGTGTAGTATACCAAGTTTATACAATTCTATGTTTTTTCTTGGTGAAAACAGATTACTGTGTATATAAGAAGAGCAACAGTTTTGTTATTTCCATGTACATAGCTATATACTTTCACTTAAACTTCAGAGAATTGCACAAACTCAGTATTGCACACAGTTTTGGCACTGCATGCATGAAACGTTATATATATGAGTATATTATTATTGACAACCTTCAAAAATTGCAAAATAATTTTATAACATACATATGCCTATTGTTCATGACACAATTTTATTAGGCCACCACATTTGCAATTTATGATATATTTGATTTTGTTTGTAAGAAACTCCTTCCATCCTTTGTATTTCTAATATAAAAACATTTTTTCAGGATTCAGTAATTTACTATTGTCGTGAAAAGTTGTTCAGAACCATGCAAATTGCTGCAGTTCAAGGCATGAACAGACATTCTGGGGATCCTATATATAAACTTTATTATTATATTTCTCTAATTCACGAAGGTAATTGTTTTTTTCCCTTCAGTTCTTCCTCTTTTTTTATGCTTTGAATGATATGTCAATGACATTTTATTTGACATTTTTTTAATAATAATGTGATCTAATCAGTTATCAACACATCAGTAGATTTGATTTCAAAAGTATTTTATTTTAATATTATAACTAAGTATTGCAATGTATTTCAAATTATGATGTATTAATATTATAGCTCGAGACTCTGAAGCTACAGATGGCCTAGCGGAGATAGCAAATTTTCCTAGTGTGTCTTTGGCATGTACAATTCTGTTATACCATTTACGAAATGGTTTCATAAATTTTGGTAAGTAATATTAATATGTATTTTTCATTCTTAATTTATATTTGGGAAATTACTGCTCTATTAAATCGCTAATCTGTTATTGTTAACTGCTTAATGACCGTGCCCAAGATATCTCGGGAATAGATGCTGTTTGGATTTTCCTATGAACAAGTTAACTCGGGCGCTGAAAACTTTACAGATATTTAACGCCATCACCCATAATATCACGTGGCAATTAACAATCTTCCATGCACCTGTTTTCTTAGATGTGGGAGGGATCCAAGCGGCTTTTATGTTCGGTTCATCGACACTCTGGCATGCACATGTTTTCTTAGCTGTGGGAAACGTCCAAGTGGCTTTTGTGATTGGTTCATCGACACTCTGGCATGCACATGTTTTCTTAGCTGTGGGAAACATCCAAGTGGCTTTTGTGATTGGTTCCTCCATGATCCTGAGCTGCAGTCGGTGATGTGGCTGCATTATAAATGAACTATGAATTCAGATTGTTTGTTAGTTGATTCAGATTACCAGATTATCACACTGTTACAGACTGTGATGTGCCGCTATGTGTTACATGTTTCAGACTCTGGCATACTGTCAATGACATTTATGGATCGTAAAATATATTTACTTAATTTTTACTTTAGCTCATATTACCTATTATTGCCTTGACTACAGTTTTGTATTACTTTTGGCTAAATTTTTTTTTTTTTCCTGCTTCATTGAAGGAGTTAATGTGGATAATATCATGAACCATAATAAACATATTTTTTTTTTACACCTTACAAAGCTACATCTAGCGAGCTACATCTGTAGATAATAAAAATGTCATAAAACATTCACAGATTTTCAGCCTAATTTTTAATATAAATTCGGTCATTAAGCAGTTAAAAATGATTTTTTTTTCGCAAGTTAAAAGTAAGTTTGTGTAGAAGAGTGTTTTTTTCCACTATCGTTAAATATGTATTGCAAAATCTGTATTATAGCTTTCATAATTATGTTTATTTCTTTTGGAGGAGGTAAGAAGAATTAATAGTAATTTTAAAGATGATAATTTATAAAATCCATATACAGTCAAAAGTCGTTAATTCGGACGCCCATAATCCGGAATGATCTATAATCCGGACCTCAAAGCTACAAACTTTCTGCGCATGCGTCGCCGCGTAAGACCTTTACCGCGGCGAATTTGCGTGTGCGCGTGTGCAAAATACATTTACGAAAGCGCGTTTAATGTATAACGGACGGAATAAGCTAAGCTAAAATTATCTAATTATCTATTTCAGTTAATGTTGCAGATTGCGTTGTTCCTTAATCTTCGAATTGGATCCGAATTATTATTTTTTGCAGACTGTTAGAGCAATTTTATAAAAGTAAGCTTGAACTTTCGATTATGTCAAATAGAATTTCCGATATATATTTACTAATATGTAAAGGATATACAAAGCGAAAGTATCTTTCGGAGTCCATTAAACAAAAAGTGGAATTGCTGCAAAAAATGGATAAAGACATATCCTTTGTTTATCTTAACTTTAACGTTTGTTTATCTAAACTTTGTTTATCTTTAACGCCGCGTGGCGTGCAATGAATTGGAAGTTGATCCGTCAGCACTATCCTTATCTTAAGGGCAGATGTTTTTATTTTATTTGGCTTATAATTGCTTACTCAATGTAGTATTTCATCTCGATGTACTCCGTCTTTGATATGATTTAAATCAAATTCCTCGTCATTATAATTCGCTTCCGATAGCGAAGAAAGTGACAGAGGTTATTGAAAACAAAAAATTTCGATTGACAAATTAGTCGGTATTCTCGACACAGCAATTATACGACGTGAACAGCGGAACTTTGTAACTGAACAAGAAATTATGTCTGTTTATAGAATTAAAGAGAATGTATTATCACATAAAAAACGAAGCAACTTAAACAACTTACATTGAAAGAAATTTTAATAAAGTAAACAAATAAATATTAAGCTTTTTTTTGTAAATTTTGATACCCTTTAGATCATAATTGTTCTTTATTTCATAAATTACGGTTTCATATTTTTAATTTTATAATTTCTGCATGCCATTTCACCAGATTTAAACTGATGATCTATAATCCGGAAAAATCGATAATCCGGAATCGCCGAAGTCCCGACGAGTCCAGATTAACGACTTTTGACTGTATATTTGGAATGCTTTTTAAAAGATAGTGTAGAATGATTTCAAGCTATACATAAAGGAACTGGCTGAAATACTTGCAGTTTTCATCTGTTGACTTCAAATATTTAAAAATGAATATAATTTGCTGTTGAGCTAAAATGCATCATTATGGATAAAATTTAATAATATGGAAGAAATAAAAATGATTTTGAAATTACATCATTTAAACTGTATACATTATACATATCCTCCTATGTATGTATGTATGATATATATATATATATATATATATATATTAAAATTATTATAATATATATTGTCAAATTGTTTTATATCTATATTCAGCCTACCAGAAAGTTCTGTTCATTTTTGGAATAAAACAAAATACAAATTTTTCTTCCCGTCAATAAACTTTATTGGTTAGAAGAGACTGAAGGGTACCCCTTGTATTATCGTGAAGTTGTTGTTTCATTTATGGTAATCTGAGTAGTTGAATGTTATGGAAACCCTATTATGCCATAATTGGTTGCAGTAAATTTTGAACTATGGGATGTTTTGTAAGGGCTTTTGATGTGTGTTGGTTAGGAAGTACATTGCTTGTTTTGTTTTTTAGATGGTAGAATGTCTGAATGTAGTTAGATTAATTTGAAATTTCTATACAATTTGGAATGAAAGGGGGAAGGAGCATTAATTGGTGTGTAAATGAAAGTTTACTTAGTAGCCGTTTTCCGGACAGTCCAGAACTACGGAGGATATTTTTTAGTCTTATTTTTGTGAATTTATGTGGTGATGCCGATATACGGATTCGAGTTCAGATAATTTTAGGAAGTTTTTGGATGCTGTTAAGGAATTTTGTGTGCCACAGACTGAAGACAAAGAAATTTCTATGTAAAGTAAGTGGATATTTGCTTTTTGTAGTGCTTAGATGCATAAGAGGTTTTTCCTTTTTTATGTTATTTTATTTTTTGACTTAAAATGTAGTTTATTAAGATTATTGAAACCATTTTGCTAAAATTTTTCATTCAGTGTCATGCACGACGTGTTCCGGTAACTGGCTGCTGTTAACTGAGAGAGTAAAAGAAATAGCAATTCCACTAAATGTGAAGGGAGCTTACTTTTCAACTGTGGGTGGCTGCATAAATTTAAATTGCAGCATGGAATCTCATGTCATATAATAAATGGAGAACCTAAAATATTCCTGCTGAGTCAGTTGGCTCAAGAATTTATATTCTTTTCTCTAATTTTATGCCTGCAAGAATTCCAGTTTTCAAAAGTGACCAGTGTCATGGTGCTAAGGAAAGTAAAGAATGGTTCACTGTTTTACTTTGTACAAATACTGATGGCACGGCAAAAATGATTCATTTAGTCATAAGAAAGTCACAAAAATGAAATTGCCTCTAACATGTTAAAATTCTGTCATTAAAATATAAAGCCAATAAGAAAGCACGGATGACCACAGATATTTGTACACAAATGCTCGAAAAAATAGAGGAAACTATTAGGAGATGAATCCGCAAAATTTTACTCTTTATGGATCATTGTACTGCTGATACTCAAATGACAGATTTTGTGCAAATTGCAAAAGCTGTTTTCTTCCCGGTCAAATTGCGCCAGTGTTGTTCAACCTTTAGATCTGGGTGTCATTAAGAATTTGAAAATGTTCTATGGGCAAAGGTTGATTCAAATAGCCCTTCAAAATATACAGAAAATGCACAGAAAAATTTTAATATTCTAGAGGCTATGAATGTGATTTCATTTGCCTGGACTCAAATCATAAACAATTAAACATTGCTTCATTAAAGCGGAATTTTGAAACCCAGAGTCAGATGGAAGTGCCAAAGATAAAAATGATTATGAAACTGTGATTTTGGATGAAGACGATTGGAAATTACTAGGATTACACATTAGTTGAGGAATATATAAATTATGGTGCCATTGTAATGATGTCAGTCTTAGGTACAGTTGAGGAAATGATTGAAAATATTTTACCATATGAACATTGAAGTAATGGGAATGAAGGAACAAAGTGAAGAAATTATCCCACCTTCTTTTTAAGATGCTATCTACTGCATTGACACCCTCAGAAATTTCGGTACTTCTTTATTATGGCAGTTTCTGAGACTGAACTACCAATCAAGATATCTATCTCACCAAAATCTGGCTGTGTGTTCTTATACCTTGCCACATAATCCTATATTAGTATCGTGTTTGCATTTTTGCTCTCACTGGGTATTCTTATATTACTCATTTTTATGAGGTTTTCTAATTTGCATTGTTTATTTAAAAATATGTGTTCGTTTTTTTTTCTGAATATGACATTAATAGTCTTTAATTTAATTAAGTAATGAGGTGGATGCCATACATTGACTGATGTTAACCACAGTTATAGTTACACTGCAAAAAGAGGATTGCTGGCCCTGTAACTATAATTAGCCTTACAGCATTATCATTCTCTCTGCAGTTACCATCTATTACTGTTGTACCACAGAAAAAACAGCACTGAAGCTTTGAAAATGAAAAAAAGAGCAAAGGCGTAAAAATAACGTCATAACTAAAGAAATCACCGTCTTGTGAGTATTACAGATGCTAAATGTGAAATTGAATTTAAAAAGGTAATTAAAAACAAAATTGGGGAGAGAAATGTACAAATTGCTTAAAAAAAGTAAAAAGAGAGAAAAGGAATGGAAGTCTGGAGAGGCTATGGAAACCAAGTCAATTTTGCAGAATGTGGTCTGGGTATAGCTAGATGCCCGATGATGTAATGAACCATGCAGCTATTGCTATCAAAATACATTGACATATCAAATACATAAACATATCTTACCTACATGCAAATAACTACTGTTACTTACATTGTTAATAGGTAGCACTTACTATG